TCTTCCATCTGCCTTATATTTTACTGTGTAAATCCATCTGCATCCAGCTGTCTCCTTGCCTTCTGGTAGATCCACAATGTCCCATGTCTGATTCTTAATCAAAGCTGCCATCTCTTCCTGCATAGTTGTCTTCCACTTAGGTTTGTAGAGAACCTCACTAACACCCTTGGGTATAGACACTGAATCAAGAGAGAAAAGAAAAGCACGGTAGGAAGGAGAAAGTCCACTGTAGGATAAGTACTGTGAAATACAATGAGCAGTACAATTTCTCTTCCCTTTTCTGAGAGCAATAGGGAGATCAAGGTTATTTGTAACAGTATTAGTAGGATCAATGGGAACTGAAACAGTAGCGGGACCAAGAGGAATACCTGAATCCATGTCAGCCGAATCTGGAGTCTCTAAGGAATCGACAGGAAGTGATGTGAGTTCTGTTGTAGTGGAATCAACCTCCTTGTGAAGTCTCTGTCGTAAGTAATGCTGAGAAGCAAAATGCAAAGGAGGTGGCAAGGTAGGTGACACAAGGTGGTGGTCAAGCACAGGAGTAGACACAGGGACTGGAACTGGGAGAGGAATAGACTGTTGATTCACTTCCCCAAAACACTCCCCCTGAGAAGGATTCTTTGAGAAGAAGTACGTGGATTCAAAAAAGGTGACATCCATGGTAACATACCGGCTCACAGAGACTGGATCATAGCAGTAGTACCCTTTCTGATTCTCTACATATCCAAGGAAGACACACTTCTTTGCCTTGGGATCAAGCTACGAGCGTTGAGGACCAAGGATATGTGCAAAGTAGACACACCCAAACACCCTAAGAGGAATATGAAACATCTCCCCCTGAGGAAAAATGAGACTGAATGGGGTGCTGAATCCAAGTATACGAGAGGGCACCCTGTTAATCAGATATACTGCTGTGAGAACTACATCACTCCAAAACCGAACTGGAACTGTAGATGTGATCATCATGCTTCTTGCAATCTCAACAATGTGTCTGTTCTTCCTTTCTGCAACACCATTCTGCTGTGGACTRTARSGACAACTGCTCTGATGGACAACACCATATTCTAACAGATATGAGGCAAGGTGTCTTTCAAARTATTCCCTKSCATTGTCAGATCTGAACACCTTTATTCTTGTTCCAAACTGTGTTAGTACCATCTGATGAAATTGCCTCACCAAGGGTGGTACTTCATCGCAGGATCTCATCAGGTAAATCCAAGAGTATCGTGAGAAATCATCCACAAATAAGAGAAAATAGCAATAGCCTCCCATAGATGGAACATGGTAAGGGCCCCACACATCCGAATGGATAACATCAAAAAAAGAAGAACATCTTTTATTACTAGTTTTAAATGAATGCCTACAATGCTTTCCAAGTTGACAACCTTCACACTCTAGACTTGACAAACTAACAAACTCAAAAAGTTTTGGAAACAAAAAAACTCAAAGAAGAAAAAGGTAAATGGCTCGAACGATTATGCCAAAGCATAATTTGACCCACAGACCCTTACTCACTATCCCTGCTGACATGATGACTCTGATGAGGAGGAAGTACATTCAGGAGGTAGATTCCATTCACTTCACGACCACTCCCAATCGTCCTCTTTGAATCCAGATCCTGCAAAATACAATGACCAAGAGAAAAAATTATTGAGCAGTTTAGGTTCTTAGTCAAACTACTAACAAATAACAAATCAGTGCTCAATCTGGGAACATGAAGGACAAAGTGTAGAGAAATAGAATCACTAATCTTGACAGATCCTTTCCCAGCAATAGGAACATGGGATTCATCAGCTGTGGAGACTCTATCTCTGCCTAAACAGAGCCGGTAAGTTGAAAAAATATTAGAGCTCTGGGTCATGTGCTCTGAGGCTCTAGAATTTATAATCCAAGGAGGTCCCTCCTTACTTGAAGTAGAAACATAATTTGCAGTGACGTGTGAACTACCTGTGTGAGCAAAGGAAGTAGAGTGGACTCCACCAGTGCCACCTGTACCTTGCTGTCCGCTTGCAGCTGAACTGGAACTAGCTATATCCCGCTGGTTTAGAAGTAGCCCATGCCTCTCAAGTTCGGCCCTTACTGCAACAACTGCAACAGACTCCGGAGCAGTTGTAGTAGGAGGGGCCAGAATGTCACCAGTAATTGCCATGTGTGCATTTCCCTTCTTATTTTTCAATCTAGTTGGCACAAGATGTGGGTGAAGCTTCCAGCAAGTATCTCTCGTGTGTTTAGGCTTCTTATAGTAGTCACAGATCAAATCTCTTTTATCTTCCTTCTTGATTTCACTGCCACCCTGATCTCCACTTTGTTTAGGTTTCACAGCACTTACCATGGCAGACTGATCAGGAATAAGGTTTTTCATCATCACATCTCTCCTGCTCTCCTCCCCTGACATAAATGCATATGCCTGGGAGAGAGTAACATTGTCTCTGGAAAGAAGGTGCTGTCGTGCAATATCATACTCAGGATTAAGGCCAACAAGAAATTCAAACACCCTATACTTCTCTAGATGTTTCTGATAGGTAGTTGCATCCTTAGTGGTTTCC